GCACTGGGAGCGATGTCGTTCATGTCGACTTCTCAAAAGCCGCGTGGACCACCGAATTCTGCTTCACAGGGTGGAAAACGACGAAGTTGGGGATCTTGTCCTTGGGTGGATTATGAATTTCCTGCAGCATCGTCAAGTGCAAATAAGAGTGCGAAGTAGGCTGTTCTATCCGATTCATGTCCAATCTGGAGTTCCACAAGCATCAACGTTGGGGTCGCGTCTCTCTCTCGTTCATCAACGAGCTTAGGCATCTGACTGCATCGAATTTCTTGCTTATCGCTGGTGATGTTAAGATGTGGCAGGTTATCACTGACCAAGGAGATCACTGCACTTCAGCGCGACCTGGACAGTGCCTATGAGAATGGTCATTCCACACTCTGATCCATTTTAATCAATCTAAGTGCAAGGTGGTCCATATTCGTCACTAGCTGAGCATCATATACAAGCTTGGATACTACGTCCTACAAGCAGTCCCCCAGGTGCGCGATTTAGGATCACAAATCCGGCTGATTTGGGTTTAGTCAGCACAGTCTGAGAAAGCGTAAAATGCTGGGAACCAACGCGTTGGCATGCGGCGAAATGCATTCGGGCTGTGTGAACCCATGGTTGCTTAACATCTACTTGCATCCTTGTGTGAAATACACAATCCAAGCCTGGCAGCACTGGCACAAGAAAAATCTCGCAGCTCTCGAGACTCCACAGCGTAAAGTCACAAAGCACATCAAAGCGTTGTTTCACTCTATATATCAACTTAAGTCGAGGACCCAAAGATCGTACAGCGGTTATTATCGGCGCCTACGTGGCGACCTAATCATGACATACAACATTTCGAGGAACCGCAACCCAGCCTGTCGATAACTACTACAACTTGGCGACAACACGGAACTGTGGGGTCGCCAGTTCAAGTTGCACATGCAGCCAGTTAGCATGTCGCCAAAGGTTCTGCTCCCTTTTGTAGATCAGCCTTGGAACGCCTTCCCAAATTACATTGTATCCGCCTCCAGCTTACCTGGTTTAAAAACCTCGACGATTTCCTAACTCACCTACAATAGAATATATCATGAAAACTGTGCACCAGCAAGCGTTACCCAACACAATCGAAACAAGATGTTTCACGCATACCTCTGTGTGAACGCTACGGGGAGTCCACCAAAACGGTTTTACTTTTTGTCACTGCGTTGTCCTCTCACCATTTTTGTGGTTCTCATTCAGGCCACTGTAGGGGACTTGTTAAGCATTTGCCCGTTACACACCATTGTTTCACTGCGCGTGCAACCAACAGACCTGCGTTACCTTCGGGTGAAAGCGTGCCCTGATAAGGGGCTGTTGATGGAGAGAAACGCCGGTTGCAGATCACAGCAAGTGTCAACAACTCTTGGGATTGTAGAAGGAAGATTGGCAACAGGGGACAATGTGAATAAGAAAGAAGGGAAGCATTAGCACTCCTATATCCCTGCTTATGCACAGCAGCTAAGAAAACCATTTTGAAGCTATGCTATGTGGCTGGCCATTGAGAGCAAGCTGGTGATCGCATGTGGACTGGGCAACTACCAAGACACACAAACTTGGGCAGAGGAAAGATCCCTGTCCCCAACTGGCTCAGAAGCTTGAAGGCAAGATGGTAGAAAAATGGAAATGCACGCCAACCCATCTCCAGCCTGAAGAACTAGAAGACTGGGTACGTCTTACCTGCAACAATGGATCAATTTGGTAAAAAAATAACTGGTAACAGAGATCTTCAATGCACCTGAATGTGGATTAACTGATCAAAGAGCTACGAAAACGACCTCACTACAATAACCTACAGCCGGTGAAAGATGCACTAAGGTCGATTATCCATACTGGAGTATGCAAGCAGGATTTGCAGTAGTTGCAAAATGAACACTCAGAAAGTTGGACACCGGAGACGATTCAACGCATTTACAGCTGCTATATGTATGTAAAGCCCATTCTCTCATATTGAGCAAACCATTAGAATACACGAAAAATTGAGTCAAGTGGAACACATTCGACACAAGCGTTAGACAGAGGAAGAGCACCCACAACACAGCCCAACGTGAAAACATCCACATTTGACTGGGGGAAATGGACCACCGAACACACACAGGCTGGTCCGAAATGCGATTGCTAGGTTGAAAGAGTCAGCGACTAACAATTAGTTCTTTAAAGTGTACAGCCAATTACGTGCGATTGAAAACACTCGTACCGATTATAACAATCATGCGCGCTAATCATGATCTGTCTATAGTGCGAAATAAAGCTGCACCGAGAGTCGAATACGAGAGCAACCTATTCGTGATTTAACGCTCCCTGTTGTCAGTGCATTCCAGTGAAAATGTAGATGCGATGTATTCAAAGACAGATTCATAGTCACCACTACCGAACTAATCGATCCTATAACCGATTGTAACGTCGCTCCGATCGTGGTCAATACAATAAAACAGCTTTGATTCGAGCTCCGGTGTGTCCAGCGGACTTGATCCACTTTGCTAGAATGTGGGTTAATAACGACACTGTGGAAAATAACAGCGCAGAGTGAAATGCAAAAGAAGACTGACAGAAGGGCATAAAAAATCAATCCGGCTGATTTAATTGAATCGATTAAAACCGAGCTACAAGGCCTTCAAATTGGTCGCTGCTTCCCTTTCTAGAAAATCATTGTTTAACTACTGTGGATTTATGCAATTTGCTATGGGGCTGGTACAGCCTTCCCAATCTCACCCGGGTTTCACTGGGGGCCAGTACATTGTCGGGCCCAAACAACACGGTCGCTATGCAGAGACCCAGACAACTCAGTTCAGTGCGGAGCTCTCCACACGGAAACTGCCGCGAAGGCTCCACTCATCCGCGCAGATCACAACGGAGTTGTCCTCAGTGAGAATGCGGTCAACGTATCCAGCACAGTTTCCACTGAACTCACATTAGTGTCACCATTGTATCTGCCAGGCTCTCCTCAAGTCAGCCGTCTGCCTCCTGAGCTGTATTCATGCCAATGCCTTAGCCACCGAGCACGCTAAACAATTGGGATGAGCCCAACGTCTTGACAGCATCGAACCTACCCCATTGCCCGGTGATAGGGCCATTACATGGCAACTCATGTACCAATAAACGTACGCCTTCCCTTACTTTTGTTTTAGTGAACTATAAATATGAAAGTGTAAAAAGTGCGGTTGCTTTGGTTGAATCAGTAAAAGCAGTCTTACTCTTTCTGCGGGTCTCGGTACAGTTGTGCGGTGTTTACGCGTTCCGTCTACCTTCTCATTTACGAGTTCACGTCTTCCGGCTAAGTCCACTATCCGCTCCAGTTGGAATCGTCTAGGCTAGTCTGCACGTGGGAATCAATGAGTGAAGGAGTTAGGGCGCTTAAAACACAATTCATGCAACAATTTTACAGTCTTGCTTATTTTGAGTGTTTTATTGACTTCAACGATGTCATATTCCGTCAATGTTTTAACATCTCCGGGATACTACTCCACACCTGATACCGTTGCATATGCCCACCAAGTCAGAGATACTTTTAAACGAACCGTTAGAAAATATTCTGGAAAATTGAGAAAACGCTGTGCTGATTACCAAGTCGTTTTAGTGCTCGTTTACTAGACGAGAAAGATTACTGCTCCTATCCAGCAATGTTTTATCACACCTGCGAAAAATAGTGGATTTCATTGCCGTTGTGCAACAAAGTAAATGTTCAAATGCAACCATTTTGATGCTTCAGGGAAGCTTGTTACCTTCTGGTGTGGAAGAGTATGCCATTCAACTTGTCTTTTTACTATCTTCCCATCAGATCCGACCACCCCAGAATGCCCCAGAATAACGGAGGCTGTGTAATCGCTTACATTTATCAACACTAGTGATACTGCACTGCCATGTTTTCACTTACTCAACAGCCACCATCAGCTGCCATTTGATAGAATATAAGCCAAGGTTTTTGAGTGGCATTGTTTCTGTTGTGCGTACGTAGCTGTGTACGTAGCCCCCGTAACACCAGCATTGGTTGAACGAATTTGCAGATAATCTATCCTCGATGCGACTGCCGAAACTTGGCCGTTCTGCTTGTGTCTGTTAGGCAGCCGCAACGAAAGAACTTGACGCGGTTTCGAGATGTGAGTTGGGCCTGCGGCATATCACGCGGAATGTTGATGAAATCAGTCCGTCATCATGACACAGGTTGCTACACGACAGAGTATGACTGCAACTGGCCAGTGCGGACAGCTAGCAGGTTTGAATCTGCCTAAACAAGTGATGTGAGTCAGCTCAGAAACGTGCAGCCGGCGATGATGGCATGTGATCTATAAAATTTATCGTGTTCTGTCCCTAATACACTTCGATCTGGCAGGCTTCGGTCTCCTGTTTTTGTTTCTCCCCGGCTGGGCTTGCGGCGCAAAGAGCAGAGGCGAAGGGCAGTGTTAAAATGGTGGCGACGGACACAGAAACTGAAGCCAGGTCTGAACAATTGCATGCTCTGTTGCAGCAACAACAAGCACAGTTCGAAAAGGTGCAAGCCAGGTTGATTGAGACGCGCAGAGAACAGAGGCAAAGGGCAGCGTTACAACAATGTCGTCGCTCGGGTCTTCAGTAAAAGTGACGCCACATTCATTCAGGCACTTGATTTGACCAACATAGTGATTTTCGCGACTAGATTAGAAGCGTGATTAGGATTTCATCTTCACAAACCATGCTCGACAGTTTTCTTCAAAATGGGTTCCACTCGGTGGTTCCGATCAATGTACCATAAAAGTATCATCCTTCGTCTAAGACAAGAATCATCCCCAGGTAACTGGTCACTAAGCCCTTCAAGGCTATCAGGCGACAAGATTGTGTAACATCTAATGCTACGAGACTCCGGGTAACGCTGTCTTTTGTCCTTATTACTTTACTGTTTTCACCAACGACCGAGGTATGGTTCTCGACTCTTCGTCTGACTCCGTTTTTAACGTTTTATTTTTTCCTTATCCTCTCATGTGCCAGCTTATTCATTCTGTCTCACTGTTTTCCAGAGATGTGAAACCTTCCAACATCCTTTTGAAGTTGAACGGCGATGTCAAGTTGTGCGACTTTGGTGTTAGCGGGCAGCTGACGGACTCTTTGGCCAATTCCTTTGTTGGCACTCGTAGTTACATGGCACCGGAACGATTAACTGGGGAGCAGTACAACATTTTGAGTGATGTCTGGAGCGTTGGTCTATCTCTCGTTGAGCTGACCACTGGGCGATACCCTATTCCCGCCATCGAATGTGAAGATTCCTATCTAACAGCCTTCAGCCCTAATCGCGAAGCAAACTTAGCTGAACACTTAGATGTTGCTAAACACGGTCGCCCCTTGAAACGTGAGTGCCATTTTATCCCTGATACTTGCTTGCAATGCGCTGACGGCAGGATCTCTATCTCGTGCTCCTTACGATGATCCATCCGCATCAACTAGTGCCCAGCTACCGCTTTCGTTCTGTTTCACTAGGTTTCTGTCATTCACCATCCTTTGTGTGCTTATCTCATATTCCTGGTACTCGGGGCACTATTTTTAGGCCATACCTTGTTAGCGAAGCATGTTCTCACGCATGTTGGTGCATTTCGAAAAACGTATCACTCATCCGGTGGTCACTGGCTAATTCCTTAGAAGATACAACAATGATACGCAGTTTGTGAGTCATCATTGTTGCGGAGCTTTTACTGCTGATTTTGGAATTGCTCAGTTCTGGCTCTTGACCCTATCGAGTATCTTTCCTACTAGTTTTAGCTCCTAACCTCCCCATTACGTGTTATACCACTATGGTTTCAAGGGCTATTTGTGTAACTTCCTCGAGAAGTATCTTTTCAATTTTACAGTCGTTTCCATTCATCCATCTGCTGAGGGCACATTCACCTCTTCTCTCTAACTTTCATTTACTATGTGTTTGTTCATCAGGGAGGTGTAAACCAGACCTCCGAGTAGGTCTCCATTACCTTCGCATTTTTCTCTTGTTGAACGGCGGCGTGACCGACGTCAATTTGACTCTTCTGCATATATCAACGCTTGGTTCGCAATTGGTTCACCTTTTTAAACCCTCCTGTTTGATATTAGACTCAGGTTTCGTCTATTATAAGCCTTATAATTTTGTGTACGTCAATCGTTATTTATCCTGTTTGGGAGCTAAGTGATATACTTCGTGTCTCACAGTCGATGTCTCTTTTCTTTCAGCCGTCAGTGTGAAGCGCGAAGAGCCAATGGCTATCTTTGAACTGTTGGCACATATTGTGGATCAGCCGGCACCTAGCTTACCAAGATTTTGTTTCTCTGACGATCTGATCGATCTGGTAGATTCGTGTCTTCGCAGCTCCCCGTCAGACCGGCCTTCGTTGGAGAAATTGCTCGCACATCCCTTTGTAACTACTGTTGCTGGAGCCTGTCCGACCGGGATAGTCCATCGCCAGAGTACCGTCTATAATGCGCGAGATGGTGATTTTTCTTTGTCTAATGAGGATCCAATCGATATTGGAGGTTATCTGCGAGCAGTTCTTCCTCCGCTACCACCGGACGAACCACTTGTTTGATATCCATATACTCATACTCTCAGTGCCTCCGAAAGCACCCCATATACCTAGTTCACTTATTCAATGTTTTATCAGTTGATTTCCTGAAGTCACCACACGAAACTACTTCACGTCAGTTATCTTCATTTCTTTCGCACTCATCCCATTTATTCAATCCAATACCGTGATATCCTTGTTCCTCTTTTGGGTCTCCTGCGTGACTTCATTCATTTCGACTAATTTCACTTCGCTCATTGCCTCTGCCCTCAATCCCACGGAGTGTTCAACACACTGCTGATTCACCCGCTCACAGCTTGTGTACATGTTATCTTTGCCATTCGGACTGATGGAACGTTTTGCGTTGCCCGGTCTTTCGTCTTGCCTTTTTTACTTCTGTTGTACAACGCTCCCCTTTTTTGCTACAGATGTTTTGCCTATAGATTTCTGCACCCAATAACTTCCCCCAGAAAGGAAGTAGAACCTCTTCTCCCACAATATATATTTATGCTGCGCGTTCACGACTTTTTGTCGTGATACATTCCCAAGCTCTATGTGTTTGCGGTACGATGTTAGACTACATTGATGCTCCAGAAGCCCTTTTACGATTTCCAAAAGAATGCGATCAGACTAATGTACCATGTATTGTTAGTGTTATTAAACATTCACCATCTACCACAAACGGGCTGCGCCTGCACACACACATTGGATGTCTTCGGTGTTGACGTGTCTTATGTCTTTAAAGCCGCGATCCATTTCTCCAATATTGACGACTCAGTAGCTGTTAATGGGCCAGTTGACCTGTCGTGTTAACATTCATGTCTTTCACGTGTTTCACACACGTGCTACTTCTGTCATCTTCCTATCCACCAAGAAGAGCTCTTCGCTCATCCGACATTGGTGTACAGCGGACGCTGTTGGTCCGTGCTACCTTCCACGCTGGAGTGTACGCGACATATTGCGTTCACGATGATGGTGTTTGTGCCAGTTACTCAGCCAAGTGTCAAACGGCAGTGACCAGGTCAATTAATTGCACAATATGCAACTCCGAACAAATTCTACTGGCATGAACATGCACTGCGTATACTCGCCTACCGCTTTCTTTGCGGAGTCTTGTGTCCATCATATCTGGGATTTGGCACTGGGGCAGTCATTAGCATGGTAGCAAGATTTAGATCGTTGATCACCAGCTTGAGTTCTGCTGGACCGTTTTGTCTTTCAGGATGGAGACGTTGTGACCCAACATGTGCCTTGATCGAGCAATCATAGGATACTGCTATACCGACGAGACAGCCATAATGTGGTGTCATGGTCTCTGTACCTCCATGACCCGTTGTGCTACGCTGGGTGGCATTTTCCAAATGTCTTCAGAGCAACTCGTACCAGACAGGTCATTGGTTATGGGTCTGACTAACTCAGTCTCACAGTACTCTTCGGAGGATGAGAAGAGTTCGATAGCCTACTTCCTTTAAAACGGGTTTTAAACTCACGGCTTGATTGGCGTTGGACGCGAGTGTCGCTCATTGTTTTTGACAGTGGGTAGTGGGTTTATCAGGGTTGTCCTATTTCTCCTTTCCTCCTCAACTTTGCTCAAAATGATATTAAATGTCTCCTTCCTGTCAGGATCTTCCGGGGTAAAAGTCTTGCAAGGCGACCGACTGACAAACCTTTAGTATGATGATATAGCTCTCCTTGGATCAGACGCAATGACTATGCGTACACTACTGAATAGCCTGATACGTAACGCTACACGCTGCAGCATGTACTTTGCACCTTCGAAATACGAAGTACTGTTGTAGGGCTGGACCGATACATCACCGGTTCTAGCTATCACTGACTTTACTGCGGCTTGCTCCTGTGACAGGATGAGGCGGCTTCATGAATGTCACGGATCGCAACTTCCCAAGCGTGACGGTCGGCGGCAAGCTCCAGTGATTTCTCCACTGACGAGCACCATGCACAACCTGGAGTTCTAGAAGATCGACATCCGATTTCACTGCAGCTAGCCACCTTTTCAAGTGCCCATTACAGTGACGCCACCAACCCTGGCAAGACAAGGGCGAAACCACGGCTCTAGTGAACTCAGTCTGCGAAGGACGTGACCGAATCACTGAAGTTTGTGGCGTTGGATGAGCGCTGAGAGCTTCGGAAGATCGTAACAGCGCTTACGAACTTCATCATTGATAATACGCTCATACCACTGCGCTTTCAAGATAAGCCTTAAACCTCAGTGGTCGAAGACTTACAGCTTCCGGGTGTCTTCGGATCGCAGCGGCCATGTTTCGCAACCATAGAGTAAAATGGCACGAATGGTTGCTGAGAATACTCGGATCTTCGTTCTCAGACTAATTTCCGTCCTTCGCCACAACGTGTATCTCAGTTGTAAGAAGGCTGTTCTGGCACTGTCAATACGGATTTCGGATGTAGCCTGACTATTGGGGAGAACGGTGGATCCAAGGTACTTGAATTCAGGAATAGACTAGATGAGTTGTCTATGTAAGGAGAGCAACGATGGCTATCACTCAAGAGCCACTGGAAGTGATGGGTCGGTTCAGTTGCCTTAATAGCTGTATCACCGAGGAAGTTACTTCGCGTGTCAGCAATTTTTGTTTGGATTTTCAGATGCTCAACCATCTATAGAAACAGTGGGATATCAGGCTCTCAGTAAAAGGTAAGGTGTATAACTTCGAATTAAGGCAGGCGTTGCTTTGTGGACCCGAAACCTGCCCAGTTCACAGTAAAGACTTTAGACGCTTGGCTGTGTTTGATCACTGGTGCATGAGGAGTATTGATCACCTTTGGTGTGAGCAACGCCTTAGCAATGTTGAAGTTCGCCAGTTGTTATTCGACAAGAATTCGGTAAATCGACTAGTGTTTGTGTCGACGGAATGGTACGCTAACGGTCGCGTCTCCAGTTTGCTGATTGCATTTTTTGTAAGGCTGATAGTAAGTAAATCTCATGTACTTTGCAGGTGAGGTGAATAAGCAGTCGCGGACAAGCAGCGGCAGTCACAGGAGGTGGGGGGGTTCTTGGCTAGTCACATGGGTCCACATTACATACCGCAAGAGCTCGTACGGCGCTGTCAAAGCCTATGTGACCGGTTATGTCCACTGACCACTCACTTCTGCAGTCATAAGTGGGTACCCAACCTCGAACAGATGAACCATCTTTTTGGCCACCGGCTTCTACTTAGAGTGAAAACTGCGAAGGCGCATCTATTGACTGGATGTCAACGGCTTTCGTGCCTGGTAGTAAGTTCGGATGACCATAAAACATCCTCTCCTCTGTGCTATTATACTTAGGCGCCCTGAGTAGTTTGTTCCCACTCAAAATCTGTTATTCTGACTTTGATAGCCGGCTCCCAACAGTTTGCGATATACTTTAATCGTCTTGCCGCGTGACGGGCCAGCCATTTTTGGCTCAAGGCTTCGTGTGGGGTCCCTTAAGCCGACTATCTTCCTCGGTCTGGGTAGCTAGGAAGTATCATACTCACACGACGTATGGACCAAGGATTCAGCGCTTCTCGTCTCCTGCTTTCTGGAACTGCTAACCATGGTCCAGGTGCTTTAGGCCGTAGCTGCTAAGCCGTGTTGTACCGCACCACCTTCCAACTGCTTTAAGCGACGTTTGTTAAATCCCTCCGTTCTTGGTCACCTCCTCCTTTCCCGAGTCCACAACATTATGTCACCTCGGACGATTGTTATTACCGCACGCATCAGAAGTTTGGGTCCGAGCATACGCCACCCGGTCGCATTGACAGGTCTTCTCTAGTACCTCATTCCCAACTTAAGCTGACTACCTTCACTGCTCGGACGTTGATGCAGATCAGACCGCAGGTAGCCCTTGCTCGCACTTCAGAAACCCCTGCCATTAGCGTTCGATGCTTCACTAAAACCCGTTTACAGCACTCTAGCACGACACTACGGCTGATCTTGCCGTCTGCGAGTTCCGCTGCTATTTTCACATCGATGCCATCTGGTGATCCAACTGCCGACGCCGCTGGTCATATCGGTGGGATGGGGGCTCACGTTGAGCACACTTGCGTAGGCGGCGCTACTCGACTGGATCCTTGTTAACGGCCGGCTCTGTACGATTTAACGAGAAATTTCGGTACGATCTTCCAGCTGTAGAGCTAGCAGATGTTTGTTCGTTGTAGCTATGCATGCCCCTCTCCAGACCACAGCCCTGTATCAGTTAAAGATGAGTTCTATTCTCGGCTCTCACCGGAAAAAGTGCTGCGTGGACCCCTTGGGCTTGTCCGAGATCTAAACGCGCAGATCTGCAAACTTGACACAGTGAACTCAGTAGTCAGCATAGCCATGATAACCGCAAGACGGAAAACAGTGATCACCTACTTCAACTCTCTGCCGATCATGGCCTATTTCTCTTAAGTAACAACTTTTGGCGATCCTGTCCTCAATGCACAACCTGGAGATCCTTATTACCGGACCAGCCGTGCTCGCGAATGGACTACGTCACTATTGCTTATCGCTGGTGCGCTGCATAATGGATTGCAAATCGATCTGGGCTACATACGTGGCTTCGGCTCAAGCATTCCTGTGTGCTATGGTAGCCACGTTTTAGTGGCCCCCAACAGCGTCGACGGAAATGGTTTGACGTGGCTAAACTTTCTGCTCTAAGCGTTCGGAGCGACTTAAAGGACACGTTAGCCGCAGATCTCAAGAGCGTCTCATGATCAAACATTGAAATGCACTAGGCACACATCTGCAGCGCCGTGCACAACTGCGATCCTGGTCTGTGGTTTCACCAGTAGTCCTGTCAACCACTAGGTCTCTGTACAACCCGTCCAACCCCTCGAGGCTCGTCGATCAAATGCAGACGGCGTTGGGTATCAATCACTACGCAGAACTACCAGCACCTAGCTCATGAAACTTCTCCTGGTGGACGCAGTTCTCCAAGATGGGGCAACGGCTGCCTTGGGAAGTTTCCGTAAGTTTTTCTTCTTAAACTGATCCACTGGCGGCAAAAAGCTTATGCGGGCGAAGTTTTGTGCGAAACCAATGACGAGCCCATTCGCTGTCAACAAGGCGGACTTGTGCGTTGAGCCGAACACTTGGAGCAGCAATTTAATGGCCTGCTGCATCGATGAGTTTTCATTCCGGAATTCACTATGCTGCCTGCTGTGTAGACGTGTCACCACCATATGATCATGAGCTCCACCTGAATCTATACAAAGCGCCTGGTCCAGACGAACTAGATCGTCGTCAAGCGTTCAGCTGATCATCAATCGTTGTCTTCGTAGACATACGAGCCACGTTTGACTCAGTTGACCAAGCCGCTCTTTGGAACAGTCTGCTAACAAGGGGCGTGTCCGAGAAGTGTTTTACATTCCTTAAGTTATTTGATCTCGGGCGGAGTGTAGATGTACGGTGGACTTTCTGTTCACGCAGCCATACCAAGCAGTGTGAGCTGGGAAGGGAACGCTGACTGAATCCATCCATCTTCACTCAATTTTACCATTCGTTCTTTTCTTACTTGACTACGCTTCCCTCATACAACAGGCAGCAAGGGGAAGCTAACCGATTCTGATAACTACCTCTTAATCCCTATTCCCAATATTTCTCTCATTTTTCCTCTTGCTCGCCTACGCTTAGTG